TCCAAGGTACAGAGAATTGTTTTATGCTGCTGGCTGTGAAGGAAGCATTCTTCTGAGAATCTCTGGTGTTCCAGATTTCTTTGGTGTACCTGCAAAGAAATTGGGATTTGCCTTTTCCAGGACTATTTCTATCTTTTTGAAGACCTGGGAACAGACTCTCAGTCCGTTTGTTCTCTTTGCTTTCTATGACCTGTGTTGTTCTCCAACAGAGGCCCTGCGGGAAAATTAGCCACAGCAAACAAAATCTTTTTCAAAGCCAGCCAAGGAAACCACGCTGAGCCATTCTGCATCTTCAGATTATAATTTGGAATTGTGTCTCTCCAGCCATGCTTTACAACAGTCATTGTTAAAGCTGAATATATTTGGAAAAACTATTGTTAAAAGGATTCTTCCCCTTATTACCATTCTTCCTGCCCCTTCCAAATCATAGAAAATTAATCCTTGCTTTTGTTGATGAAAGGCACATCTGTCTTTCTAATGAAAAAAAAAATAAAGTATGTTTTTTCATGATTGACCGCTTTATTTTATTTTGACATAAACATAGCAAAGATCTTGCATAGGTTTTCCTGAAATATACTTGGTATGTGTCTAGTGATATAGGATACCTTAAGCCTGAGGCTATGTTGTTTTTCCATTCCATTAGCCAAATGAATGTTGTGGGAGATTGCATGAACATTTTTTAAAAATTTAAAATAATGGATCACTTCTGGAAGCATTCATTCCTTCAAGAGATTTCTGGGAATGGAATGATGGATTTGCAGCAAATTGAAGCTTTGCGAATGAGAATATTAACCAAGTATTTATAGATGCAAGCTTGTTGTAGAGGAAAGATGTTCAACACACAAATGTTGGTAGGATAAATTGAAAATGTACATCTTGGTGATGGGATATACAACTTCATCAAGTTTTGTAACTAATCCTGTGCTTTTACCTTTGAATGTTATTAAGTAAATACTCATAGACGAGCTTGCTCTCTTCTTAGTCTGAACTGAATTGCTTTCCCCAGTCCAGCCAGAAATTATCTGTCCTTAATCCAGAACATTTTATATTAGAAGTGCAGCCAACGGAGATGTTTTCACCTCCTTTTTCAGAAGGACTAGAGGTACCAGTGTTTTTGAGACTCACCAATAGAAGACTCTTGATCTGATTCAAGAGGGCTTCTCTAATATTTTTAGCTCAGCCCTCATATGTGTCCAATGCTGAGACCGCCTTATCCCAGCTCTTCTTAGCTTCTGAAGAATTGTTCTTCGTCTTGGATGGCACCTATTGCAGAGCTCTTACTGAAGCTAGCCAAGTGTGATTTGTATTCTGTGATAGAAAGAAGGAATATGCACATACTTAGGAATCTTTTGCTGATAAAACTGAGAGGGAGTGTGAAGTCTAGGTATAGAGTTCATAGCTGGGATGGGACATGAATTGAGGAACTTTTCAGCTGATGTCTATTGTCCCCCACTGAACTGTACACTGTAGCTTTAATCCACTGTAATTAATAAAATGCATTGTTTGGATCAATAAGTCCATGGGTCCTATGGGGCACTGCTTCACTAGCTTTAAAGACTTGCTTCTTCTCATACAAGCAATGAGGAAACATCTCTTCTGGCTGATATTTGACCTCTCAGAGCCTTTTGAAGGCCACTGGGGGACCTGGTTCCATGCAGAATGCAACATCAAAGGACTACACTATGTTTTCAACATTGCCATTGCTGTTTGTACCTCTTTCTGTCTGTGAAGAGAAGAATCAGATTGAAGGTAACTGTGATTTCCAGTGATCTTTCTTCATGAACCTTCTGCTCTTTCTTTTCTTTCTTTAGCTTGTGAATCGATGCTTGTATTCAGGTAGCACGGACAAAACAGTAAAATGCTGGTTGGCTGACACTGGGGAGCGGATACGGACCTACAAGGCTCATAAACACAGTGTCAGCACTTTGAAATATCACGCTGGAATATGTAAGTTCCAACCCACTCCATCATATTTTATCCTGCTTCCTTTTCATGTATCTGTTTGCTTGTGTGTTGGATTTATATTTTGAAAGGCACACCCTCCTCTTATTTCTCTCCACAACAACAGTCTCTGAGACAGGTTGGGCTGAGAGAGAAGGGCTAGGACCCTGCTCTCCCCAACCTAGTTCAGTACCTTCACCATCACCCCACACTGTTTCTGGGGCTAATAGAAAGTGACTGGCCCAAAGTCCCCCAGTATCAGCCCTTTGATGTAGGTAAGGTCAGGAAACAAGAGCAGCAGGAGTTTCAAGAAGACTTTTTATTGTTGTAGGGTGTAACAACAGAACCTTGAAAACCTGTCCGAGTTTTTCTCTGCTACATTTTATACCAGTGATGGCGAACCTATGACACGCATGTCAAAGGTGACATGCCACAATGTTTTTGGTGACACGCCAGCATTCACTGACACCCGACA